GCAACACACAAGCCCCCACTGACAGACGGGTGGTTGCTGCTCGTGAGGTGCTTTGGCTGGGAGTCTTCTGCATGGAAGGTGTCTCAGTCATCTAGTGCTGCTCTAACAGAAATACCACAAGTGGATGGTTTTAACAAGGAGAATTTTATTCTCTCACAGTCCAGTAGGCTAAAAGTCCAAATTCAGGGCTTCAGCTCCAGGGGAACGCTTTAGCTGTCGGCTCTGGAGGAAAGTCCGTGTCATCAATCTTCCTTTGATCTGGGAGCATCTCAGCGCAGGAACCTCAGGTCCCAAGGACACGCTCTGCTCCTGGCACTGCTTTCTTGGTAGCATGAGGTTCCCATGTGTCTCTGCTCGGTTCTCTCCTGTATATCTCAAAAGAGGTTGCGTTAAGACACTAATCTTTTCAACCTCATCAGTATAACCTCATCACAGTGATAGAATTTACGACACATGAGGAGATCACATATAATCTCATCATAGTGGTAGAGTTTACAACACCGAAGGAAATCACATCACATAACACAATCATACAATACTGGGAATCATGACCTAGCCAAGTTGCTACACACATTTTTTGGAGGACACAATTCAATCCCTGACAGAAGGTGAGGATTCTACCACTAGCCACCATCTCTTTACTAAACCAAAAGAAAAACCTGAAACTGTTACCTTCGAGTTGATGCCGACTCATGGTTATCCTATGTGTTACGGAGTAGAACTGCTCTACAGGGGTTTCTTGGGGCTGAAATCTTTATGGAAGCAGATCACAGCACAACTGGGTGGGGCTGAACTGCTAATCTTTAGGTTACTAATCAAATGCAAACTGTCTGCAACACGCAGGGACTCTATTTCTTTACTAGATAGTCTCTATTCCAACTTGCTCCAAATAGTTTTGGTTCTTTCCAGAAATCTTTTCACCCTGAAAGGATGACACCATTGTGAGATTACTTAAAAGTTAGTCTACTAAATGGGAGAAAAATGTAGAATAAAATTCAAATTCACACACACACAAAGACCAAAGAAACCCTGAGAGTACGGTCCCCGGACACCATTTTAACTTAGTACTGAAGTCACTCCTGAAGTTTATCCTTCAGCCAAAGATTAGACAGGTCTATAGGGCCAACAATAACACACATGAGCGCAATCATGTATACGAGACTAATGGGCACACCAGCCCAAAAGCAAAGACGAGAAGGCAGGAAGGGACAGGAAAAGAGAAACTGGATGAATGGAAAAAGGGAACCTGGAGCGGAGAAAGGGAGAGAGTTGACACATTGCAGGTTTGGCAACCAATGTCACAAAACAATTTTTGTATTAACTGTTTAATGAGAAACTAATTTTCTCTGTAAAATTCCACCTAAATCACAATTAAAAAAACAACAACAACTTAGTCCACTAAAGCCAACTCCAAAAAAGAATTTAAAAAATTTATTTGGGTGATCCATGACTCCCCAAAGTGGCCCCCTAAAAAAGAGCAACACAGTATGTGTTCATGTGTATTTAAATTTCTATTTTCATAGGTATACCTTACATCATAAATATCAACTAACTGCTATGTATCAGAAATTTCAAAGAATTTGAAAAGAGAAATTTCCTCTGAGGATGGGGAACAGGAAAGCTTTCATGAAGGAAATGCAATTGAGTAGTCCATGAAGCTTTAGTATAGACAGATGGATAATGTAAGGATATTCCAGGTCAGTATTTCTCAAAGCTCTCCCTGAATTGTGTGCCCTGCAAGATACTACTGTCTGTGGGAATATGGGGGTGGGGAAGAATTGGTGTTCACATGTGTTGGGAAAGCTACATGTCCTCTTGGACATTTATGGAACAAAGCAGCACATTAAAGACTCAGAAACATTTGCTGGAGGGAGAGGGGATGTATAACTTTATGTCTCCAACTTATTTGATAATGGATCTCCCTTATTTTCTTTTTTTGTAGCCCTTAATAACAACCACAATTTGAGATACTTTTCCAGTTTAAGTAGAACCCTCACATTATGTTGCTTATTGTGATGGTGGTTAAAAACAAAAAATGGAATTGCCATTGAGGCTATTCCGAATCATAGCGACCCTACACGACAGGGTAGAATTGCCCGATAGGCTGTAATCTTGTATGGAAGCAGACTGCCACATCTTTCTCCTATGGAGCAATGATGGTGATAGCATCCTTCATATTCTTTCCAATAAACACACACATTTATGTGCCTTGAACAGTGCTTTTTGCAGCACTGCTGTGAACATGTGCCTGAGCTTTTTCTCAGTTTATAGTTTCAAGTTGTATAACTACTGCAAGTTGTTTATTCTCTCTGAGCCTCAGTCTCCTTATCTGTAAAATAGGGATAAAGTGATACCTATTCATAAAGTGATATCACTTTATCTATTCATAAGGTGGAGCCCTGGTGGCGCAGTGGTTAAGAGCTATGGCTGCTAACCAAAAAGTCAGCAGTTCGAATCCATTAGCTGCTCCTTGGGAACCCTACGGGGCAGTTCTATTCTGTCCTATAGACTTGGAATTGACTCGATGGCAATGGGTTTCTTTTTTTATTATTATTCATAAGGTCATTTGAGAGGATTAAATGAGTTACAAAGTACATAGAGCCATGTTCAACCACTAGTAGTGTGATCTTGGACAATTTGTGCAGACCAACAAAAAACATTAGTATTTCCACCCAGGGCCAATCTTTCCTTGTGATAGTTTTATTTGATACCAGTTTACCATGGGGAAGAAAGTAAATCTAGAGATAGCCTAACACAGGAATACGTAAATGAGCCACAGTGCTATAAACGGAAGTATTTCTTTCTATAATAGGCACTAAATAAGCTCCCAGAGCACCAAGGGCCTTCAAACAGTTTGTGTCTAGAGCCCTTGGCTCCCAGTTCTAGAAGAGAAGGTAGATGTCAGCATGGCCAGACATGCATAGTATGTGTGGGCTCCTGAGAGGACAACTACTAGTCTTCCTTCTGTGTTGCTTTTGTGTGTGTGTGTTTTCCTTCTGGTGGGTTAAAAAAAAAAAATACATGAACTTTCTTGCCTCTAGATGATCATTTATTACACACACACAAAAAAAAAAAAAACAAAAAAATGTATATGAGTTTTATATTGGTTGTGCAAAAAATACAGCATTAGGAATTATGGAAGGATGCCTCAATACATATTATAGATTTGTCCATTATTAAGAAGATAGTCCTTATTCCGGTTTCTTGAACTGATAAAGTTGTGAAGAATATGGCCCTTGTAATTCAGCTTTTACACATGTTCAGAAAAGTCCCTGTGGTTCTTTTGACACCCACAACACCATCTTACCTCCAGGAAAATAAATAAGTAAATAAATAAATAACACATTACCATTTTTTAAAACTCCATAATAACTAGTTCAACATGACTATCAATACATAAAAGTTTAAATGTCTTCACTTAACCAACCAGCATTATTGAATAGAGAGTTTTATTTATTTATTTCCACATTAGAAGATTTACCTTTTTATTTTCTGAGTGTTTGATCCCTAGGCCCTGAATTAAAGGAAACTAAATGCCCATAGGAATCCCTGGTGGTGTAGTGGTTAAGAGTTACAGCTGCTAACCAAAAGGTCGGCAGTTCAAATCCACCAGGCACTGCTTGGAAACCCTATAGGGCAGTTCTACTCTGTCCTATAGGGTCGTTATGAATTGGAATCAGCTTGACGGCAATGGGTTTAGTTTTTTTTAATTTTTATTTTTAATGCCCACAAAGAGCTAAGCATTTCAAACTAGCTTGGTAAATCATAAGTAAACGCAAGCCTAACAAAAATAAAGATCGTTTATGTGAGTGTATACTTAAAATGAGGAGTCTGGGTGGCACAAGTGGCTTGCAATCAACTGCTAATCTAAAAGCTGGTGGTTTGAACCCATCCAGCGGCTCCTTGGAAGAAAGGCCTGACAAACAGCTTCCATAAAGATTACAGCCAAGAAAACCATATGGAGCAGTTCTACTCTGTAACACATGGGTTTGCCATGAGTTAGAATCAACCTGATGGCAAACAACAATATACTCAATATTTTAAGATGTTATTTTTCCAAAGGACTTTTAGGATTATACTGATGTGATAGCATATCTAGAACGCCAAGTCCTGGTGGTACAATGGTGAAGCGCTCGGCTGCAAACCAAAAGGCTGGAGGTTTGAAAACACCAGTGGCTCCACTGGAGAAAAGACCTGGTGATCTGCTCCTGTAAAGATTACAGCCTTGGAAACCCGGGTGGAGCAGTTCTACTCTGTCCTATAGGATCAGTATGACTTGGAATGGACTGGAAGGCACATAACAACACATTGTTTCCATTTACCTGTGCAACCAGAAAAGTATGTTAAGCATTTGGACTCTCTGTATCTAACTTTTTAATTGGGAAGTAACAAGTAGAAAATGAATACATATGGTACCAATTTAAGTAAACAATATCTATCGTCTTTATAATCTTTACTGATACAACTCTAAGGATAAAATGAGATCTCTGAAGAATGACTGTGGAAGTGTTCTATGAGTGGTAAATCATTAGAGAAATATGTTTACTGATAGGAACAATACTACTTGGTGTGTGGGGATTTTCAGACTTAGGTTTATAATTTTACTTGTGTTATACCTCAAAGGAGGGACCAATCTCAGTCAGATGTCAATACGTCAATAACACATAATGTTTATGCAAGTTCATACGTAATTATCTATGATAATACATAGTTACAGATAATTATATAAATACGAAATGCTAAAATATTTGTTAACCATTTCTTCCTGCCATAGAAATTCTGTTAAGTCATTGCCATATTTTTACGAAAATAACACACGTGTTGCTTTCTGCATACCGTGCAACCTCCTCGCGTGTTATCTTCGTAAGTGCGCTATACAAATATTTTACAGGTTGCTGACTTTAATTTAGATTTTTTTTGGTCCAGTGTATTTAATGTTAAGTCTTTGTCTTGGAGCCTCTTCACACGGAGTTCCCAGTAGCAGACCCTCACCAGCCTACCCTTGAGTTTCGAAATCAGTCCTTCTCCAGGCAGGATTCCTTCTTTGCTATGCAAACCGTTTTCTTCAATGCAGGAAGAAATCACTTTTCCTGTCCCGGAAACAGCCCTCACAAGGGCGTCCTGGCGTCCGGGAGGTGTACGGGTCTGCGCACTCCAGGCCGGAGAGGCCACTCTGGCGGGCAAGGCCGGTGCCGCAGCCGCGCGCATTCTGCTCTGCCGTCCGGCTGGCCGGCTGCCACGCTCAAGGGATTTGAATCTCCTGCCCGCACAGACCCCACGAGGGCAGGCGTGAGAACCACGAGGCTCAGAGGAGTCGCGCGTCCTTAGCTCGGAAGAGATGGGTCTGGGTCCAACTGGCCGCCCCTGGTCCCCACGATGCTGGGGCAGTGCGCGCCCGCACCGACACCGCCCGGCTGCCTCCCAGCTTCACGTGGGGCCTGCACCGGGGGACGCAGGCACGCGCTGGGAACGCGCCTTTTCGGCGCGCGGGGCCAGCCCATTTTCGGACTGTGGCAGCCCCGCGCACAGCCCACAGCCCCACCCGCCGCAGCCCAGGCGCGACGTACCTCGGCGCAGATTAGCTATAAGGAACTCCACCGCTCTCAGGCCCAGCCTTGAACTGCCCCAGACCAAACGCACGGTTTCAGTAGTTTATTTTCCAATTACTGGAGTACTGTGAGTCGGAATTGACTCAAGGGAAGTCGTAATTGACTGGATGGCAATGTTTTTTTGGGGGGGGGCGGGGGGGCTACTACCAAACTCGATCCATGACTTCTTGACTATACCTTATACATTATACAAATATCATCAAAAATAACATTTTCTGACTATTGAATGAGGGTGAATGAGGCTGAAATTCACTTCTGGAAATGTTGCGAGACATGCACGATATATGTTTGAGAGTGCTAAGCCAGAACTCTTTGCATAAGTTTATCATTTCCGCGTATTATACATGTGCGCGTTATATATGTGGGCACACTGTATGTGAAACAATACGGTAGTTGTGACAGAGATTAGTCATTGTTTTCTTTTAATCAGTTCTAAGGTGCACTTAGGAAAATTTTTGAATTTTGAAATCATGGTGATGCCTACGATCAATATTGCAAAAAATTCTGATTATTTACCTCTTATACTAAAAAACTTTCATTAAATATATAGTGTGTCTTACAACCAATTTTGCCTCACAGTTAACCACCACATGTCTAGAGACCTTTTGTGGATATAAGTTTATATTACTCAATTATCCTCCATGACCCTTTATTCATTCAACTTATTTATTTTTTGCTGTGAAGTATTTATGAATGCTTATTCTACCCTAGTCATTAAAATGCCATGATGTAGATGTCACAGACTTCTCTAATGTTAGTCAGTTTTTGTTTTCAAAGGCCAAATTGTGAATATGAACATGTATCTGAGTAAAATATATATATATATATATATATATATGGAAGTAATGATTTAACCCACTCATTACATACTTAGAGCATACTTGCTCCCTTAAATGAAAATCAGACAAAAGATAACAGCACCGAAGTCACAAAAAGGGGTTCTATAAAGAACAGAAAATTGTCTCAGAGGTGACTCAGATTTAGCTCTTAGACAACGTGACCTCTGATTGGTTAGTAATTTTTCTTTATTTTAAAATTTTTTCTAAAGTAAAGAAGCAAAACCCAATTAATATAATAATAAGTTATACTTTAAACCTGACCCTCAGTATCATGCCATCTTGAGTTTTTAACGGAACTAGCTGCCTCCCTAATTACTTGAAATATTTTCACACATTATCCATTATCTATACATATAGTTTCTGTGGTACAATACGTGTGAGTTCAGTGTCCCAATGTCTTTACTCAGGTTAAGAGTACCATCGAACTTCTGATTGAGAAGGAGGAATAGAAGATGTCCTAACATTCCCCAGCCACCTGAAGTCCTCTATTACCACATTATCATCACTACCTTTTACTATATCCATTGCAATAAGATCAGGCTGTTTAATTCATTCATTCAGAAAATATTTATATAACACTCTATGACAGATGTTGTGCTAGACCCCATGAATTTAGAGATGAACATATGTTCTGCCTTCAAGAACAACCTCAAGTGGAGACAGACATAACCAGATGCTTTCAATAATATGTAGTATAGCAATAATGTAGAAAAATTACAGGAGCAGGGTACAGGATATCATTCTAACATAGTCTGGCTGGGTAGAGGAGAGGGAGGTGGGGTGGTGTCCTAAATGACCCAGTGTCTGGTCTGAGTGGCACACTATAAATAGGGATTGACCAAGAGGTTATATTTGCATGCTTTCTCTCTTTACTAGGTCTCGAATTTTGTCACTCCTCTGGGTGGCGCAATTGGTTAAAGTGCTGTGTAGCTAACCAAAAGGTTGATAATTCAAGTCCATCTAGAGGCACCTTGGGAGAAAGTCTTGGTGATCTACTTCCAAAAAAATCAGCCTTTGGAAACTCTCTGGAGCACAGATGTACTCTGCAACACATGGGGTTGCCGTGAGACAGAGCTGACTCCACGGCAACTGGTTCAGTTACAAAAGGAGATAGGCTCCCCTGGCTTATCTCTACATTCCTCCCTAAGTAGTCCCTTCTATTCTTGTGGCCTTACTTCCATCTCTATGCTGACTATTTCCAGATAGACATCTCCAGGGCAGATCTTTTCTCTGAGATTTTCATTGGTTTAATCAAATGTCTATTTAAAATCTTCATTGAGGTGTTACAGAAATATCATGAAATTAACCTGATCAAGACAGAATTCCTGGTACTTTCCCTGTTTTCCCTCCTCAGTAAATGGAGCAACAATCCAATACTCGAGACAGAAGCCTTCTCACACCCTCACACACTCAATCTAATCCTTCATCAAATTCTGTCAGTTCTACTTCCTAAGCATCTCTCATGCTTAGTTCTCTAACATCCATTGTCAGCTTTCAAGTCTAAACTACAAGTCATCTCTTGCTTGGTTGTCTTCTTATTTTACTCATATCCCCTTCCTATAAATTCTGCACACAGCAACCAGGGTTATCTTTGAAACATGTATCAAATCATGGTAAATCCTTTAAATACCTTTTAACAGCGTTCTATTTCACATAGAGAACATCCAAACCAGAAGGCCTGCGTGATCTGACCTATACCTGCCCCTCTAAACTCTTCTCACACCGTTCTCTCCATTGCTCATCAGTGTCCAGCTATAGACACAGTGACTTATGCATGCTCTTTTCCAAACTGAGGCCTTGATTCTGCTGTTCTTTCTGCTGAAATGTGCCCCTCTCTCAGCTCTTTGAATTCCTGGTTCCTTTTCTTTCTTTAAGTATTGCATAAAATGTCTCTTTCTCAGACAGGTCTCTTGCAACTGGTCTAACACAGTCCTTGACACCTCTACCCCCAACCCTGTTATTCTTCTCTACCCTCCATTTATATCTGGCATAACAATTATCTCAATTTTTAATTATTTTAAATAATGTGTTTTGTTTATTGCCTCTAACCCTTACTAAACTCTAGGCTTCATGAAGAGAGATTTTGTCTATCTTATTCAGTTTTTTTTTAATTTGACATTTACCTAGTATCTAGCACAGTTGCTGGCTCATAGTCAAAACTAAATACATGTTAAATAAAATACACACACATGTACACACACACATACATACATTTATACATACATAAAGAATAAATAATCAAGGAAGGGTACAGTCAGGTGGGAAAGGTTTCTTTTTCTCTTTTTGCAGGGGGAGGGCTAAAGATGTTATTGTATTATGCTATACAGTTAAACAATATGGAAAACTTAATAATATATTTCTTATTAAGGTGGGGCAAAGGAATTTAAATAACTATGGGGAATATGAATAGCCTTTGAATGAATAAGCTTAAACATCATTGACTTAAATCACTGGAGATTCTATAGCCAGAAGAGTAGCTCGAGGGTTATTAAAAAGCAGATTGTAAACAACTGTTCTCCAAATTTTTGGGGACAACAGAAGATGAAATAAGAGAAATCTCCATCATTAGGTATTTAAAAGGTATATGAAGAAACATTTTCTATCAGGTATAAGAATTAAAGAAAAAAACCTGTTTATCAAGAGGCCATAACAAAATCTTAGAATCCTGGCTTTCTACCATGCCTTTTATATTTCTAATGCATCTATGGTTATATTCCCTTTTCATTCTTACATTATTTTATTTATGCTTTCTATCTTTTTTTTATTTCCTTGATCATTCTTCATAGAAATTTATCTGTGAAGTCAACCTGCCTTAGTTTGGGGATGGTAACAAAAATAATAATAATACAAAAATTAACAGTACGATTACTGAACATTTATTGAGTATTATTATGTGGCAGGCATTATTCAGCAGGTGTTTCCTGTTCTAAATTATTTAATCCTAATAAGAAGCCCTGTGAGTTAGGTTCTATTATGATCTCCATTTCACAGATGAGGAAACAGAAGCAAAGCAAGGCTACCTAACTTGCCCACAGTCTCACAGTTAGAAAACACCAGGCAATCTGGGTCATAGTCCTTGTTGTCAACTTCCTCACTCTCCTGCTTACTCCTATAATTATGTCCTTATCCTTCTTTTTAGTCATTAGAACTTTTATTTAGGAGAAAGGAGTGCATATGCTACAGATATATTCTAAAGATACCAGGATTCTGCTGGTAGAGAAGAAAGAGAAGGTAGCAAAGGTAAATGCAGGAATGGCCAATTAATGGTTTTAATAGGTTTTTTGCTACAATATTTTCAGTTTTCTTAATGAGTATTACAAAGAGTGGACAGCAGACACTTCCTCATCTTCCCCTCTCCCCTCTCTGGGTAAAAACAAACTGAGAAGTTTGAGAGCCTTTTTCTGGAAGGAGATGGATTATAAATCTATGAAATTTTGGAGTAGAGAGGAAAACATTAAGTTCACCTTTTAGCTAAACAACAGATTGGCTCATAAAATAAGGAATAATGAGTAATAAACTCCTTTAAAAAATCATCTATAGGAGACTAAATGGTCAAAAATTCCTCTAAAGTGAAGGTAAAAAGGTAAGGGGTAGGGAATCTAGAGTACAATATTGGAAACCGTATAACCAGAACCAAATGAATGAGAATGATGACACATTGTGAAAAACATAACCAATATCACTGAATAATTTCTGTAGAAATTGTTAAATGGGAACCAACTTTGCTGTGTAAACTTTCATCTTAAACACAATAAAATAT